CGTCCAAACACAGTGTACTGCTTCGTGGGCAGTATAGCAGCCATGAACTTGCCCACGGGAAGGGCCGCTATTTGCATCAAAATGGCAGAGATGGTCAAAGGCTGTGTTCTGTATATGAAAAAAGTGTTGAGGAAAATCAAGATTGTGCAAGATGTCAAGCCAAGGAACCATGCACGGAATGTCATTACTGGGAGTGTGGGGTCGTCGGTTTCTGGCACCACCAACGCCACCTCCTCGACCGGACATCTGTCTTCGGCTGGTGGCTCTCCGTTCAGCTTCTCCGCCGCATGAGCCATTAATGCAGCTGTATTCGATTTGGTAAGAAAGTAACAAATGATGCTGATAATATCATTCCTTTGGTGTCCTGTCAGATATATAAGGGAGAGAGGGAGGGCATTATTACCAATATGCCCTTGTCTTTTTTCTTCATTTTGTTCTTGGGAAAAATATGAAAAATACATTGATTTATTTAGTAATTAAACACAAGAAAATGTGAAAATATCTATTTTATATTTTAAAGTTAACCGTTACTTAACGTTTAAATAAGATGGCTTTTTAACGACAAAATAGTGAATTTATTGACCCTATATAATGAGTCAAGTTATCGTGATCTAACATTCAATTGAGTTCAAGTCATAATAAATTATATTTAAAACGATAGTGAGCACCCATAAAAAAACATTGTTACATGAAGTTTCAATTAACCAATTTAAGTCATGAAAGCTTGAATCGCGACAAAGTTGTCATAACGAAAGAGAGTTACATAATTCAGGAAAATCTACTCAGAATTACAACTTACAAACCTTAACTAGATAGTTTGAATCGAATACAACAAACCCAACTATCAAGAGTCGAATTTAATAAATAATTGTTTCGTAAATTTTCATCAATTTCAAATTTTACAATTTAATCTAACCGAATATCTGATGTAACTTTCCAACATCAACAATTAAATATTCTTGTAACAACTTGTTTAATCTTTGAAATTACAATAAGCAAACCTACTAGAGGAGAATAATTTTGTTTGGCCTACGTTGGTACGAGAATAATATTCCTTTCAAAAGGACTATACATTGCAAGCTTGAGTTGTTGTGCAAATATGTTCCTTTTGCAAAACTTTAAAATGAAAAGGGAGAAAAAAATTTTGAAAAGTGTCACATATACACTCTTTTATTGACATTTCAAGTGGTGGCAAGTCATGATTGAGTGAAAAAATTGTCAAAAATTCAAACTGTCCAATGATATATTGCCACATGACAAAGTGTAAAAATGATACAAATGATGATGTACATGTAGTATGATTGAAAAATTTTAAGGGTCCATTTGACATGATTTATGCTTTTAAAATTATTCAAATATATCCAAAAGTGAATTTTTAGTATCAGATATGTCTTTTTAATTCTTCAAAAGCCCAACAAAACGAGCTCCAAGTCTATCCACATCTTGTTTGAACACATCTCGATGCGCATTATTCTTCCAATAATGCATTTTAAATATGCATTTTTAGAAGAATGTGTATCAAACACGGCGTAGAATTAGAGATAACTGAGCCTAGTACAAACCTTCACCACTCTCAGTTGATCAAGCTAGCTAAGCACCAATTATTTATTAGTTTTTGGACCAAATGTTACTTTCAGCGGATCATAATCATAATTAAGCCAAAACCTAATTTCCTGGATGGTAGTACTCATTATTCACTTGTCTGTCTCAGCTTATGATACTCCCCCGTATCATTCTACGATGAAGTGTTTTTTTTCATTGAATGATTTACACATTAACCAATTTTTTTGCACATCATTACAAGTGGTGAACATCAAATATGATTATAGAATTTGAACGGGCAGTTGATTGGACTTGTTAACTAGAGAATTAGATAAATATTTATACTAATTATCGAGAACATACTCTGCCACTAGCTTATAGCACGTTATACAAGTCTCTAACCCGAAGCATTATTCCCTACCGTCCCAATTGAATTATCGACTATCTAATTGTTATTACTCAGAGGAGAAGGACAAATTATTCTAGAGTATGTGAAAGGATAAACGGAGAAGAGAGCTATTTTTCTTCAGAATTAATAAGACAAAATAAGAATATTACTTTTCGTGGTGAAGATTATCTGTAATCTTTCTACGTGGCTCATGTATGGTGGTTTGTGATTTAATGCATTAATATAATAATTTTTTTATTGACTTGTATATCAAATTACGTATGAAGACTATCGATAGTTATTTCAAAAAAAAAATTATGCTAAATTAGCAATTGTAAACCAAATCACTAGTTAATTTGACAAAGACGTGAGATGAATCCCTTTTTAACTTTTGTCCATAGCCTAGTTTCAAAAATGTGGTGCCCATTAATCAAGAAATTGAAAATTGCAATTTAGGAAGGAATCATGATATTTGTTGATCTCTTTTTTTGCACCGTTGACGTGGATAACAGATACCGGAAACACTCGCATTCTCTCAAACTAATTCCAACAAGCGTAGAACGATTATCAATCGACAATATTGGACGTGGAAGTGCTTTATAATACAAGATAAAAATGTTACGAAATATTTAAGATAAATTACACGATAACGAATGACCAACTAAAAACCAAACTCAAAATCAAGATAACACCTCAAACACTAAAAGCCCAAGATTCATAAAAAGAAAGAGAATATTTGGCTTGTAGTGATATTTTTGCATTACCCCGAATGACACAAATAGAGGATATTTATAGTGTTACATGTGATATAGCCATCATTGGATGGAAGGACACGTTGCTTCATCTCCTTTATCAAGGCATCACACCCTAGGTATCAATTTTGATTTTACTAGCACATGGCACATTACATGTCACAAAATGAAGGCGGCCACCCCATAAGTTATTCTACTCATTACAAATATCCAATCAATCATTTTAAAAGGATTTCATAAATTTAAGATCATTCGATGTAAATCATCACCAGTCTTAGTTGAGCATCGGATTCTACTTCGTTGAACCCTGCCACCTTGGCAAAGAAGTTTTGTTTGGACTCCATATTTGTCTTTAGCAAAGGGACTTTGGAAGTGGGGCAATCTCATAAATCACTTCAGTAAGAGTGAGTTTCGATAGGTCGGATTTGTCTGGACTCGGTAGATTCTATTCCACTGGATGCCACATGGCTTTGACGGGTCGACTGTGCCACATAGGAGCCTAGGTGGCGAAACGTAACAATACTCTCCTAAGTCCAAGTATGGCACGTGAGAGTCTAAGTGGCAAAGCATAACAATAGTCATTCAAGTCCGAGGATGATTATTTATGTCATGCGTGGACTTCTGTCTTGAACAAAATTTGTTTAAAGCATGTTTGCTCTCGTGATTAGATTTTTGACCAAAACAATATTTGCCATCACAATTATGATCATCATGTCTATGTATGAATACAAATATATATTCAATTAAATATACAAATTTGAGATAAATGTAATCGAACTTATCATCTATGGTAAACGACAAATAGCATTGGTCTAGGAATATTAGTAAACTCAGCCGTCATAGGAAAAAAACTATTTAGCCCGTGTTTCAATTCCATTAAATCCAAAATGTATTTTATTTTTTTCCTTCCAATTATACATTTTTCATAAAATAATATTGCACATAAATCTAAAACATTTTCTTCCATTTTCCAAAAAATTATTATTGCAAAATATATTTTTATTCAAATTTTAATTATAATGAAGTTCAAATGGGGGCTTAGTCTAATGCCGTAGTCATGAAAGGAACAATTGTGCTATATAAACACACTCAAAGACATATTAAAAAACATGAATAAAAGTGCCCCGGGGCACATCCAAGATGGCAAAGACAGTGCAAGACTGGGCTTGCAACCCAAGTGTGGGGAGTTCGAATCACGGACAGAGCAGCCAAGTGTTGTAATACCCAAACCATGTGGTGGAGCAGCTTGGTGATGTAAATCTGGCGCAGGAGGTTCCTTGAGGCTATGAGTATAAAACTTGCATGGACACTGGCCTGATTAGATATAACCCGCGATTTATCTCCGCCCAGAGTTGAGGTACCAGTTCTGGGTGGTTCAGGATATAATCTGGTGTAAGCTGAGAAACCTGGGTACCAAAAAAAAAACATGAATAAAAACACAATATCCAATTATTATGTGTCATATCAATTAGAATAATTCTGCTCAAACAGGGAATATATACAAGGTGTCAGTGACACCCTGAGTTGGCAGAAATGGATTGGGTGTTTTTTCTTTTTTTATTGAAACTGTCCAACCAATGTTGGACACGTTTATCTGTTTTTTAAATTCTGTCAATTTTTCCTGTTCGAGTATCAGTTCACTTATCTCTCCATCATTGTCCTTGGGTTTTCCAAGGGGCATCATTCCCAAAAGAAATAGTTAGTAGTGATTTGAGAATTGATTCTCAAATCTATTCTCATTTTTCAACCACACATTTCCCATCATATCACTATTCAAAAATCAATTTTTTCCTCAAAAATTCCTACCAAACAAGCTCATAGAGTGATAGTGGGATGCTAGTGCCACTTTTACAATCGTGTGAACGGCACGTTTTGTCCAGATTCTGACTCACTTTTGATCACCTGTGAGCAAAAAGCACCACCGGCAGTCATGTGGTCGTTCATATGGGCCTCACAAGAAACGTGCGACGTCACTTAACTGGCCCACAATAATCAACGAACAATTAACACCGTTTGTCAATTACTCCGTTTTCTAAACGAGTTTTCTGACGTCGCAGTTAGTTGAGGGCCACATAGGACGAAAGCAAGTGTTATACTCGTGCCTTCTTCGAAAAGACGCCACGCGGCACAGTGCCGTGGCAACGACCTCTGTGTGACTAATTTTGGTCCATAAAGAAAACTTATAAATTAAAATCAAAATTTTCATAAATTCTAATAAAAATTTTATGTGATTTAAAAGTTATGAATCTCAATAAACCCCGTTTGAGGGTTAATTCCCTAAATAATCACTAAACTTTCCGTAAAATTCCCACGAGGACACTAAACTTTAAAATTGTTCCCAATAATCACCGAACTTTGAAAGTTGATTCCACATCTATCACCGATTAACTGCGTAAACAATACTTGCATAATTTGAAGAATTTAATGACGTGTCTAATGATATGGCTGACGTAGCACATCATTGTAAAAAAAATTATGAAATGTCATCTTGGGGTTACTTCGAAATCTAAGGAGACATGAAGCTGGATTCAACAATTTTATTTTCGAGAAATTTGAAATTTAAGATTACATCTCCATGACATTGCGTATGGACGACTTGCATATAAATTCTGAA